AGTTCAGAATTTGTGGCTGTTCTGGCAGTGTGCCACTCTAGAATTAAATCACATTCATGTCAGTTAAGGAGACAAAAGTCCCTTGCTTTTCATTGCTTTCCCCCAAAAATTGTTTTCAGACTTCTGTTCATAAGCAGGATCATATAGGAACGTGGCTGTTTTTCTGAATAAATCAGACAAGATAAAAATCTCTGTGCCCTTCCAACATGTTGCATATTGCTAGGATTTTATGGAAGAGGCTCCAGTAGTACATCTTTATGCAGCTGGGTTTTGAGGGGGAGTGTGTGTGGGTTTTGTGTTTGGTTTTGTGTTTTGTTTTGTGTGGGGTTTTTGGGGTTTTGTTTAATTTGTTTGGGGGGTTTTGTGTATGTCTTTGGTTTTTGTTTTGGCTTTTTGTTTGGTTTTTTGCTTGTTTTGTTGGGGGTTTTTAAATTCTAATATATTTAACAGTACAAACTGTTTGGGAAACTTGAATGAAAACTCTTCTGTTCATTTTAATTTCAGAATTCTCACTGGGGTATTGTGAAAGCAATTAGTTGGTTTTCATAAAATACCTTCCCCTTGTGAAGCCAAATCCTGCACACTGAAAATGGGCTTAAGGAACAGAAAGAAGCCTTATGTGAAGAACTGTCATAGGCGTTTACTGTGAGGGCTCTGCTGTTATCATCTGCACTGAGCCTGGGCACAAATTTCAACAATTTAAAACATACATAGTAAGAATATAGGCTTTTTATAATCTTGATATTTTAGTGTAAACTAAAACTTGGTTTGGAAACAGCTCCTCATTTTGAATTGTGCCTGTAATCTCTTACAGCTCCAACAAGAAAAATCATATTAACTGAAGCAAACATTTTGAATTGTGCCTGTAATCTCTTACGGCTCCAACAAGAAAAATCATATTAGCTGAAGCAAATAACCCTAATAACCTTTTATATATTATGCTTCATCAAAGCTGCTATGCTAGGTTTTTTTAGAGTGTTCAAGTACAGATAGGCTGGAGATTCTTCTTATGCAATAAGGGTCTTTGTTACACAGAGACAGGAATGTGAATTCCTAAGCCAAACGTATAAAACCAACTCACCAGAAAGCAAGTTAATTTTAAGAGAATACCCTCTTGAATTATAAAAGCTGTGCAGGGGAAAGAAAAAAACCAAAAAGGTTCCTGAAGTATCCAACTTCATTTTTACAGGCTTATTTAATATGTCAATTCAAATGCAACAGTAGCTCATTTAGTAGCTCTCACTCTTCTGTATAAGGCTGTATGGTGACAGCCAGAGTCCCCAGAAACCAAGCAGGACAATAAAAGAGCAATATTAGATGGTATGGCCACATATAGTCTCATCAATATAGCAATAGGTTTAGTCATGCTTTTTGTCATCAGAGGGTAAACCACCCATTTCAACATTAAATGGCTGTCACTTCTACTTTGCAAGGTTATCTGATACTGTTGCATTGGAAAGATCTCTGAACAAAGTCTGAGCATTTGGCTTATTTATCCAAAATCAGAAGTCCTCTAAAGAGAGTAGGAAAATCTGAACTGAATACACTGAAATATGTTAGGGTAATATTCTTTTGTCAAAAATTATTTTTCAGATGCTGCCTCAAAATGTCACTGTATGCTGAGCATGCACAAATTACACCTAAATAACATACCCTTGGATATTCATGCACATAAAAGCCTGTATTTCATATTTCAAGAAGTAATCTTTGCATCACACAAGCCAGAGATGGGAGTGATGTGTGAGATCATCTTATCATCTGCTGTTAATTCAAGTCTGTTTCCTGAAGAATATTCTAAAGTATCTCAGCTTGTCTAGTTTTACACAACTATGACTGTGTTTCAGTTGTATAGCACAATTGTTAATTTTATTTCCCTAACACCCCAAAATTTTTATTTCCTAAAGGCATTCTACTATTTCTAGTTACACTATCTTGGATCTACCTACAGTTCTGGGAACCATTAAAATTGTAATCTGTTCTTCCTTGTCCTTCATTTTGCTTAATTTTAAACACAGAGTAATCACATTCTCCTTGTCCCTTGGGTTTTCCTGTAGCCAAGAATGACATTGTTCTCTTAGTTTTTTCCTCACAAACCAGTTTTTCTGGCATGAAAATAGTTTTTGCTTTGCTCAAAAATCTCTCTAATCTATTTAAAAGTTTGAGGTCTACAAAAACAGGACAAAATTTCAAGGGCTTATAGAGGCTTTCTTTCTTTTCTTGTTCAAAGTGTGTGCACTTATGTTTTGTGATGCAGTGATTTTTATCACAGTCTCAAGTTTCTACTTGCTGTGAGCCTAAAATTCACTGATAGCACTAAGACATCTGAAATACCATCCAGCCATCTTGATGCCTTTATGTATTATTATGTCTCTCTGGGTATTTCCTATCAGTTCAATGTCATATTTTTTTGGTATTATTATTTTCCTTTTTTTAAAGTATTTGTTTAACTTCTCTTTCTGTGGACATGTTCTTCAACGTGCTGAACACCCTAACCTTTTAAACCAAGCATATGCTTAGTTTTCAAGTAGGCCAAGGGGAACAGCAGTCCTCTAGCTCAAATCCTGAAGGTTGCTTGTGTTTCCCTCCTCAATTATTTTAATAACTTTTTGATTTTTGTATTAGATGTTTAGTAGACTCCAGTACTCCTTCATTCTCATTTCAGCTTGTGACTAAGTGAAGTGCTAGGTTATACAAGAGTCCCAAGAGATGTAATTGGATTCTTCTTTCCAAGCAGGAAATTTCTCTTCAGTGTTATTTGCAGTTCTTGCTTGATTTTTGGCTCACACTTGTGTCAAACCCACTAAGAGTGGAAAATTTGATAAATAATGTAAA